GCGACGGCTTAAATCTTTTAACCTTAAATACAAATTTAAGTTCAACAAACCATATTTGAGCGGCGTCTCAATTTTAAGCCGCGGCTAAAATTCTTTTCGGCCTCAGGTTACCCAAATTAACATTTTTCTCGAATTGAAAAATATGAACGAATCATTTTATTTGATAAATGTGAAGATTACTTCAACAAATGAATGAATGATTTCAAATCAGGTGTGTATATTTTTCATGAGCATTTTCATTGACAAAGATTAAGAAGGAATGGAAAAGGTGGGAAAAATAAGGGTATGGAAATCTTGATAATATCCAAATATATTAATTTAAAAATGTTATATGGGTGTAAAGTTTAATGAATCATTTCACGTGTAGGAGTGGCAGGTGGTGAAGGGTGGTGACTGGTGAATCGGGGGTGAATAAAAAAGTGTAGAACCACCAAATTTTTCATCCTTTTTAAAACTTCTCTTCAATTAGTTATTTTTTCCACAATAATTCATTGATATTCCCCAACTCAATGCATGCATACTGCAAAAGCAAGTATTGTGAATTACAAATTATTATCATAGAATCAGGGGGATGATTTTTAAGAAAATAAACAGCCATGAAACTCTGACACTATCAGATAATGTTTAGATAATGTTAAATCAATAATAATGATTTACTTAAAAGAGTTCTCATTAACATTTCGTTCCCAATCACATAACTTATATTTTATAGTTTCAATGTTAACTTTCAAAGAATTTTATGTTTAGGGTCCTCCAGAGAACCAACCTCAAGAGGAAGTTCAAAAGGTAGGAGTGACTACAGTTGATACTAAGCACACTGCTGTAAATGGACCATCATCATGTTTTTTTATACTGTTTACCTTATCTTACTCTGGGATTCATTCTTACTCTTGGATTCATTCTTACTCCTGGAATCATTCTTACTCTAGGATTCATTCTTACGCCGGGATTCATTCTTTATCTAGTATTCATTGTTACTGTAGGATTCATTCTTACTCTAGTGTTCATTCTTACTCCGGGAATCATACTTATTGGAGGATTCATTCTTTCTCCCAGAATCATTCTTCCTCTAGGATTCATTCTTACTCCGGAAATCATTCTTACTCTAGGATTGTTTCTTACTCTGGGATTCATACTTACTCAAGAATTTGTTCTTACTCTGGGAATCATTCTCTAGGATTCATTCTTACTCCAGTTATCATTCATACTGTAGGATTCATTCATACTCTGGGAATCATTCATACTGAAGGATTCATTCTTACTCCAGTAATCATTCATAATGTAGGATTCATTCATACTCTGGGAATCATACTCTGGGAATCATTCTCTAGGATTCATTCTTACTACGGGAATCATTCATACTGGAGGATTCATTCTTACTCTGGGATTCATTTTACACTCTAGGATTCACTCTTACTCCGGGAATCATTCTTACTCTAGTATTCATTCTTACTCCGGGATTCATTCTTAGTCTAGGATTTATTCTTACTGTAGGATTTATTCTTAATCTGTGATTCATTCTTACTCCAGGAATCATTCTTACTCTAGGATTCATTCTTACTCCGGGAATCATTTTTACTCAAGGATTGTCTTACTACGGTATTCATTCTTACTCCGGGATTCATTCTTACTCCGGGATTCATTTTTAATCTAGGATTCATTCTTAATCTAGGATTCATTCTTACTCCAGGAATCATTCAACCCTAATTTTAATTCAGAAAATATGCCAGCAACACTAACATAAGGCATATCTTCAATAGAAACCCATTTTAATGTAGCAACAAATTCAATTCAACTTTTAGATTTTATAACAAAAATTTAAAAATTGGACAAAAAATGCCACAAAGCAAAAATCTGCGACAAAAGGGAAGCTTTACACCCGCCACAAAATTCCTAGAGGAAACCATGGTTATTTGATATAATGTGTAAGATATTGTTGTTTTTCTAGCTTGAAAAGTGTTTGATTCTGATAATTCTAAAATTGTTTTACTCCAGCAGAAATGTGCATTGTGCAAGTTATTTTTTGTAGAATAAAGATTTTTTAAAATAAAAAATCTGGATATGTTAATTCATACTTCAGACTAAGCAAGGGTTACGTTTTAATCGGACTTTCCACTCTTTCAGATTTAAACTTGATTTGAATTGATATAAAGGGTCGCTTATAAACACGAGGTTCCATTTTCTGATCGAATTTTGATGTTTGATGTATAGATTGGTGCCCCCGAGAATACCTGTGTTGAGACGACTAGCTGGACAAACTCAGTGTCAGGGAATTCAACTATTCTTGAACAATACAACCATAATCATTCAAGGTATGCGGGGTACAATTAAAGCTATGCGGGGTTAGATATTTAAGGTATACAGGGTTAGATATTCCAGGTATAAAGGGGTAGATAAAAGGTAGAAATGTCAAAAAATAACCTACCCTCCGAGGTGCAGGCCTGGGATAATGTTTTTCAAGGATTTGGCGGGGAAAATGAGAAAACTGGGACCAAAAAAGTTATTCCCCCTGGTTTTGATATACCCAAAATTAATTTTTTTTTAAAATCTACTATTATTTTCCTGATATATATAATTTTTTAATCCTTATTTCTTATTTATATAACGCACTTTCTGCTCATAGAACGTCAATTAACAAGACAATGTAATTAACAAGGTGCGCTAAAAAAGTCAATGTTTTTTTGGGTATTGAGTACAAGACGTAAAATTGTTACAGAAAATTTATCAATATTCAAGAGAAAAAAAATATTATATCTTAAAGTCAAGAAACCCTTAAAAGTAAGAGAGAGTAAACTATTTTCTAAGAAACCAGAGATCTTAGATTTAATTTATATACATTTGTCAACTTTTTTCTAATCTACAGTAAGTTGCAATTTTATCTAAAAGCATCGATAAATCTATACTTCTTACATAGGGGGGGAGGGGGGGGGTGCAAAACGTATTGCTCTCCTTGAAATTTAAAGAGTGTTTAAACATAACTTAGCATTGTCGTAGGAGGCTGATTTGTTGCATGCGAACTTAGAATTATGTATATTACATGCATTTTTCAGTTTTTAACGGATCCGAGCAAAAGTACATTACAGTATGGGTCATCTTAGCACAGATTTTGCATGTTGTATGTCGATTTATAGGTAACTGGCACGAAGAATTTATTTTAAGGTCAAAATAAATATAGGAGAATTCTGACCGGCGCGCTAGTAGCTGACAGTTACATTATGGGTCATCTTAGCACAGATTTTACATGTTGTATGTCAATTTATAGGTAATTGTGCACGAGGACTTCATTTTTGAGGTCAAAATAAATATTGGAGCCTTCTCACCGGCGCGCTAGTACCCGGCAGTTTTTATTATGGGTCATTTTCCAACATAATTTACATGTTGTATGTCGATTTATAGCTAATTGGGCACAAGGAATCCATTTCTTAGGTAAAAACTTTTGTAAGACGACTCTGATCGACGCACTAGCAGCCAGCAGTGTTCTAGTACCCTAGAATCGACATGCTACATGAAAAACATATGGCAGGATGTACACGAAGGTGACTGCTGGCTGTTAGCGCGTTGATCAGAGTAATCTTTTTAATTAAGAAATGGAATCCTTGTGCCCAATTACCTATTAATGCTTTCATATTTATTTTGATCTCAGAAATGAACTCCTTGGGGTCAATTACCTGTAAATTTACATACAACTTGTAAAATTTGTGCTAAGATGACCCTTAATGTAATTGTCGGCTACTAGCGCGCCGGTAAAAATGCTCCAATATTTATTTTTACCCTAGAAATGAATTCCTCGTGCCCAATTGCCTGTAAATCGACATTCAACATGTAAAATCTGTGCTAAGATGACCCATAATGTAACTGTCGGCTACAAGCCTGCGTTTCAGAATGCTTTCATGTCTATTTTGACCAGTGCTTAGGATCAGGATCCGGATCCGTTGGATCCGCAAGATTTTGGCTTCATGGATCCGGATACGCAACAATATGGGGATCCATGGATCCCCATACAAGGGGTAAAATATCAACCAAAAACTGCAAAAGCAACTTATTTATAAAATCCAATTCAGAACTTTTGAAGAAAAAAAAGATTATAAAAATTTCCTCATTTCTGAATGGTTCATCAAGTTTTAGATTAAAAATAAGCGAAAAAAATTAAACTTGTACTTTGAAAATTATTTTTTGTTAAAGAAATGCAGTAAATCTTAAAGAAATCACCCGGATCCGGATCCATTTTTTTCCAGTGCGGATCCGGATCCGCATCAAAATTAAGTGGATAAGCACTGATTTTGACCTTGGAAATGAATTCCTTGTCCCAATTTTTCTAGAGTTCGATGTATCTCATGCTACTTTTATTCTAACTTAGGCCAAACTTAGCACATAAGTATCCTAAGATATTTTCTTTAATTGCGCGCGGGCGCGGACATTTAAGGCTTGGAAGGTGATTTTTTTGAGCGCAGATTTGTTTTAACAGTGTCAGGATAAATGTTCCAAGTGCAATGAATGAAGTTGATATTGATTTACTGTAAAAAAAATCTTATTTTTTTCACTAGAAAACGCGCGCGCCCGTGCACTTTTGCTGGGATCCGTTCAAACCCAAAAAATGCATGTAATATACATAATTTTAAGTTTGCATGCAAAAAATCAGCCTCCTACGACAATGCTAAGTTATGATTAAACACTGTTTAAATTTTCCGGAGAGTAATACGCCAAACTGGTTCGATTTTACTTTTGATAATTTGAACAAATATTATTTTCAATTTTATTTTAAATTCCATAACCGACCCACTTCTTTTCTTCTTTGGCTTTACTTTTTGACTACCCCCTTTTTTGCTGGGGGGGAGNTTATTTTATATTTGCATATATTTAAGTATGTAATACAAAAATCGTATGGTTATTTCAATTTGCATATTTGCAGTCACTTAAACATGGTATTCCAAAAATTGGCAGATTTTTCTAAATTTGCCGATTTTTGCAAAAAAAAATTTTGATTTAAATTTACTTTGTTCTCAGGTAGCCCTGGACAATCCTGTTGCAACAGTGGATCAGAGTACAATTGATAACGTGAGTAAAAATCATGGGAATATATTATAGGGGTTTATATTTCCTTGATAAATATTTGTCACAGATTCATCCTTTGTAATCATATTTTTGGTGTAAACTGAAAGAAAATTTAAACTACATTAAAAACCCGTAGTTGCCAAAAATGTTAAAAAGAGAAATATGATAATATAAAAAAATATATCCCTGGTCTAGTAAAGGCCTGACAATTTTAAATTAAAATTCTTTGTTTTCAGCTAATCCTGGACGACGACGAACAACTGGATAAACTTGATAACGTAAGTTAAAATTCTCAGGAACATAACACAGGGGTATATATTTCCCTCACCCCTGTATTAATAGTTTTTTGCTGTAATTAACATCGTTTAGGGCGAGTACTGGGTTTAATTTCAGGGTACTGTGGGTACTGGGTGGTAGTGTGGTATACTGAAGGGTTACTTGGGTGTAAGGGTGTACTGTAGGATACTGCAGGTACAGGGTGCTACTGGGTGGTACTGCGGATACTAGTGGAATATGCAGGGTGGCCTAAATGTACGGATTCTACGGATTTTTTTTGTAACCCTAAAATTGTACGGATTGTACGGGATTTTTTTTCAAATTGTACAGATTGTACGGATATGTATCCTGGAAGTACACTTTTTTTTTACTCATTTAAGGAAATTTTTCATGAAAATTTCAAAAAAAAATCTCTTCAAAATGAAGTTAGTTTAACTTATTTTCTGCATTCTAAATAATATTAGATTGATTAATGTTTCAATTGACAATCAACATTATTCATAATTTTCGAGATATGTCCCAGAAGTGATCATTTGAGAATATGTTTATCTGTCTAGCTATCTGTCTATCCATATGTATATCTATCTGCATGTCAGTTTTATTTATATTTGTATCTATATGTTTATATATCCTATCTGTCTCTCTGTTAATCTATTTCTCTTTGTCTGTCTCTTTATAAGATCTGAGCACATCCTTTCAGGTTTCTTTCGTTTTTCTGTAAATCTTTTCATTTTTAGTTAAATATAAACTTTTTTTTAATTGAGTGTCTAACCCCTGTACTACCTCCCACCACGATAACTTTAATTATATTAGAACCTAAATCTACACTCCACTCTTTCTAATTATAACCTAATCGTTTGTTTGTTAAATGCATAGAGAATAGAATATATATTAGAGGGGAATTTACTAGAAAAAAGTAAAACGGCCATTTTGTTGTACTGTTTCCATACTGCAGGTGTACTTTACATATTTATGCTATCTAACCTTTTGGGTCCTGGAATATCATTTTATAGAAAATCTAAAATTATTGTTAAAAGAAAACCAAATTATGAAATAGGCAGGTTTCATAATTGACCAATGATCATTTCACATTGGCTCTATGCCTTCCACTTTACAAACGATGATTTTCCGTTATAACTATAAATCAAATGATGTTTTTATTCTCCTAATTCATTAAAAAGTTTATTTAACAGTTTAAAAAATTCGAAATTGAAATGAATGGTCAAGGGAACATATTGTTTTAATGTACTCTACCGCATATAATTTGTGAACATTTACATTTGTACACTTTGAACTCCCTTTCAAGCTGAAAGGGACTGAAAAAAATTATACCGAGAGATTCTTTCAATTCCCCTCTAATATGTATTCTATTCTCTATGGTTAAATGGCCTAATTCACACCGATCTAAACAGTTTTTAAAATTAGAATCAGCGCCCTATAGTTCTCTAGGTCTCTGGTTCTCTGGTTCTCTGGTTCTATGGTTCTATGGTTCTATGGTTCTATGGTTCTCTAGTTCTCTATTATTTAGTTCTCTAGTTCTCTAGTTCTCTAGTTCTCTAGTTCTCTGGTTCTCTAGTTCTCTAGTAATCTGGTTCTCTGGTTTTCTGGTTATCTGGTTATCTGGTTCTCTGATAGTTTTTGGCATCCCGTTATGGTTTTTTGGCACTAATTTCTTTGATTTCAAGATGCCTCAAACTGGTTACAAAATACATTATGTCCGTCTGGGGCGTATTGAGAAATTTGATCAGGGGCTTAAATTTTTTATCATTCACTATTTGAGGGGGGGGGGGCTCACCACCTGTTGGGGTATGAAAACCCCTGAAATCAATTGATTATGTGTACTTATTTATCCACATTTTCACCTTGCAAAATTGTCATGTTTATTTCATTTCCAAATTGTTATTATCAGATTGTCACTTTTATGACGTTACCAAAATTATATTACCAATTGTCGTTACCAAATTGTCATTACAAAATTATCACTTTTGTGAACTTACCAAATTGTCATTGCCAAAAATCAGTTACGGCATTTTTTTGGCATCCCATGACGGTTTTTGGCATCCAAAGGCAGTTTTTGGCATCCCATGACGCTTTCTGGCATTCCATGACGGTTTTTGGCATCCCATGACGGTTTTTGGCATCCCATGACAGTTTTTGGCATCCATTGGTAGTTTTTGGCATCTCATGACGGTTTTTGGCATCCCATGACTGTTTTTAGCATCCCATGCCAGTTTTTGGCATCCCGTGACGGTTTTTGGCATCCCTTTGCAGTTTTTGGCATCCCGAGACAGTTTTTGGCATCCCGTGACAGTTTATGGCATCCCACGACAGGTTTTTGGCATCCCTCAAGCTGGTGACAAAAAAAGGCCTGACACTTTTAAATTAAAATTTTTCGTTTTTAGATAATCCTGGACAATACTGCAGCAACGGACTACGAAAAGAGTAAACTTGATAATGTAAGTTAATATTCTCAGGAACACAGGGGTATATATTTCCTTAATATATTTCCATTTTTTCACAAGCAACTTGGAAATATACACCCCTGTATTAATAGTTTTTTGCTGTAATTAACATCGTTTAGGGCGAGTACTGGGTT